CTATAAGTACAAGTAGGAAATTGCTCTTTCAATATATATATTTTTTACATTTATCAATAGTGACATTGTAACACTGTTATCTGTCATAAATCTCCGAATCACACCCCACATGTACATATTTACAAGTAGACAACCCAGGGTATTTAATATGGGGTATGCCCAGTCTTTCTTAGTAGCCACTTAGTCACAAACACTGGCCAAAGTTCTAAAAGGCAACATTACCAATCTGACAAATTTAAATGAAATAAAATTAAGCCTTATATTTGACCCTGTAACTTTCAAAAGCACTATAAAAACTCTACATGTGGGGTACTGTTATACTCAGGAGACTTTGCTGAACACAAATAATAGTGTTTCAGAACAGTAAAACCTATCACAGCAATAATATCATCAGTGAAAGTGCCGTTTGTGTGTGAAAAATGCAAAACACCTCCCCTTTACTGACCATATCATCGCTGTGATATGTTTTACTGTTTTAAAAGACTAATTTTTGTGTTCAGCGAAGTCTCCTGAGTAAAACAGTACCCCTATGTACAGGTTTTAGGGTGTCATAGAAAGTTACAGGGTTAAAAATAGTGCTAGAAAATTAAATTCTCTGGACTTTTGACCTAGGTTTTCAGTCATGTCCCTCAAATTGAAATCAATAAAATTCCTTAATTATGTAATAATATTACATAAATATGCACGTAGAATTTAAATATATATACATATTTATATATTTGAAGTCTACGTGTATATTTATGAAATTATTTATGTAATTATGTATATGGACATATGTATATTTCGTATTATGTCTATTTATTTTTTATACATATATATAATTTCATTCTAAGTGTATTTTGATATAAATATATATATGTTAATATCAAAATACCATTAGAATAAAATTATATATATATATATATATATATAAAAATTTTTTTTTTCAAATTATTAAAAATTATTTTTAATTTATTTTTATATACGTATTATTTATATACCTGTGCCTGTTTGTCACCCAGCCCTTCTGTGTGTTTGTTTGACCTCTCCCAGTGTTTCTCTTTCTTCACACACCCCCTTTGTGTATCTGTTTCTCCCCCAACCCCTTTGTGTGTCTATTTTTCCTCTTCCCCAGACCCTCTGTGTGTCTTTCTGTCACCCCTCAGACCGTCTGTATATCTGTTTGTGCCCCCAGCCCCTTTTTCTGCTCCTTCTCATGTGCCCTTTTTTGCCCCCTTTCCTCCTGTGCCCTTCTTTTTCCTCTCTCCTCCTGTGCCCTCTTTAGACCCCTCTCCTCCTGTGCCCTTCTTTGCCCCCCTTTTTACCCTCTTTAGTCTCCCCTCCACTCATGTGCCCTTCTTTGTCCCCCCTCTTGTGCCTGATCAGCCTCACCTGTGATGGAGGACCCTCTGTTTCCTGTACCTGGTCTTAGAGGAAGCAGTTTTGTGCTCTCAGTCAGCACTTCCTGTCAGACCAGAGGCTCCTCTACCATGGTACGTCTGTTCGGCAATGCTACATGCGCAGGAGGGGAACCCCCTCCTGCTGGTCACCAAGAGATCTATCTGCCCCCTCTCCTGACTGTCCCCCTCCTAGTACACCACTGCTACAGATTCCTAAATGTGTAAAGGGTGTGTTCTCTCTTTCAATTTACAAAAAGTGCAGATTTCAATAGAAACTTCCACTTTTATAAGTTAACTATGTTACAATCCCCTTGGCTGTCAATCAGACAACTGCTTCTGTTACTTCTTGGTTAGCTCAGTGGAGCTAAACTCAAGAGGCAGCAATTACACAGAGCGCATGCCTTGCAAAGACTCATTGAGCTTCATTGGGAAGTCTGTGATTGGACAGCCACAGAAAGCCTGTGCTGGGAAGCAGGGGAGGGCTGGAAAAAGATTTGGATTTATAAAAGAGATCTGCAACTTTTACAAGCTGTTTTTCAATATACCCTCAATGAAAAAAATACATAATTAAATACATGCATGTTTTCACTGGGGGTATATCTACTAATAGTGATTTTCTTTATTTCTATTTTTGGATTATTAAGTGTCCCTTTTAATAGATTGATCTACGATTAACCTGTAAATCAAATTTTTTTGCAGCAGGGCGTTCATATAAAATAGCAAATTAACTGGACCCAGACGCGCCACGGAGCGGGACAGACACCCTCCCTCCCTCTCCACCCCTCCTACCCTCCACCCCCACTTCCCCTCCCTATCCTCAAAAGGGGAAAGCCTTCACACACACATAATACGCAGGAACATGGATAACAACGGAGACACTCACACTAGTAGCAGATATTACTCACGAGTAGAATAGAGAGGACACATAACAAACATCGCAGCCAAGGAGCACACAAAACAGCAATACACACGAATAACTCATGCTGTGACCACAGGCACAATAGCAAACACATTAAACACCAGACACAAGACAACGTAACTCTTTACACCCAAGTTCACACCTAGACATACGACAAATACGAAAATACAGAAAGAAAGTTAAAAACCCATGCACAACGACGTCATAGGACAAGGGAAAAGGATAAGTAGCAAGGAGACATGCAACAACCGTTCAGACACGCAGAAGGAACACACAAGACATCTGTTGACAGGACAGCGGGCACGCGACAAAAAGAAAACTCAGGTCCACACGAACAAACCCTACCATACACAGACGTACTCCAAACAATGACTGAATAATTCTGACTTGTAAACAGCAATAGAGGGACTGAACGGAGTTCGGACAGTTTCCCACCCCAACGCCCATGATCAGATTATCGCCTGGGTACACAGCGTCAAATGGTGCACTTAAAAACCATAGCTGTGACGCTAGAAATTACTAGGGACCTGCGTGTCCGGCAACATTGTGGGCCTGCGAGCCCGAGAACGTTCCCACATGTCATGCTAACTAGGCTAATGAATGGTGCTCATACTATTGTTGATGGTGATATGTCTCTTGGGACCTGCGAGTCCTATCTTTTTTCTTGACTTTGATAACACAAATAAAACAAATTTACAAAAAAAAAAAAAGCAAATTAAACTGGTGAAAAAGGGCAACTTTGGGCTTGGGGCTTAGTATATAAAACTTTATTTATAGAAACAAATGGGAGGGGAAACCCTACGCTGACAAGCAATTTGGACAAATAGGAGCACTCTTCCCTGTTTAACACCTTCTCTTCATCCAACAAAAGGAATTAAGATGACACCCACCTGTGCAAGGCTAACCAAATTAGATCCTTGCAATGACTAACATTTCTTTACAGTTGACATTCAGGCAAGGATCCCACCTAAAAAACACTGGATAACCCTTCTCCTCTCAATATATTACTCATGCACAAGTAACTAGCTAAGAATCAAAATCCAGATATTTGATATCTATAGCACATTGCAGAATTGAAATTGTAGAAATATATGAAGTCCAATGATGAATTTTCATCCAGGTGATCCCACTAAGTAAGTAGTTTACTCCATCATGTAGATTCAAGTATATATAAGAAACAGAGAAAAAATATATCTTAAAATATATCCTTCTTAATCAAAACATAGAGATTCACTAATTATGAATTCACTTTATTTGAGACATTCCTCATAAAAGATAAAAAGTATTCAAAGTTTTCATTTGTAATAGTCTGTGTCTTCATCTATGGTAAATTAATATATAAGCTACATGCAGTGCAGACCTTAGGTGAGTCTCTCGGTGTCCCAAGACAGCAGCGTGATATTGCTGTTTTAGATTCAAACCACGGTCCTCTGCATGGTCTAGATGCTGGCTGGTAGTAGTGCGAGTTAGGTCCTCTCCAGGCGCGTTTCTCCGCTTCGGAGGCTTTTTCAATGGACCAGGTTTGTAGATGGATGGAATCAAGTCTAATTTCATAGGGAAATACAGAGGATATGAAGTCATTAGATGTATGGTCATCTTCCCAGATTATTTCTTCTCATGATGTATGTGTATGTATGTATGTATATGTATATATATATATATATATATATATGTATGTGTTTTATTTATGTGAGACATAAAATCATCATACAACTATTACATAAATATATACATTTCAGTTCAGAGTTTTTGTGCAATTTTACTAGCAACATAAATACCTTTGTTTTGGGAATATGTGGTGGAAATGTTGTGAGACAAGATACCAACTCATTAAACATTTGCTCAATGCCTCCATTTGATTTGTACAATAATTTACCACTTTGGAATTGTAATATAGCCTTCCTCTCCAAAGCTGATAAAGGATTTCCTAGTTAATGCAAATACTTTCCCATCAGCCTTATAGGATATGTAAAGTAGAATTGTACAGCTCTTCCTTAAAGGGACACTATAGTCACCCAGATCAGTTCATGTTGAAGGGATTCTATAGTGTTAGGAATACAAATCTGTATTCCTAACACTATTGTACCCTCTGATCCCCCAGCATGTAAAGGGTTAAGAAACCCTTTAGTAACTTATCTGATGCCACTCGGTGCTGGAACCATATGCGGATGTGCGGAGAACACCATGAGTGCATTATGCCCTCAATACTTTCCTATGGAGATTTAACTGATGCTGGATGTTCTCACGCAGAGCGTGAGGATGTCCAGTGTCATTTAGGCGACATGGAGTCTGTTAACATCCATGAATTGCCTCTAGAGGCAGTCTTAGTCCTGGAAGGTAATCATTACAGATATTCTAAAGCTGCACTGATTTACATTGCAGGACTAAGTGGGACAGGGACACTGCACCCAGACCACTTCAATAAGCTTAAGGGGTCTGTGTAACTATAGTGTACCTTTAATAAAGTGGTCTGGGTGCAGTTGCCCTGCCATTTAGTTTTTTAGAGAAGCATTGTTGAAATTGCAGCTTGGTACCTGCTTAAAGATCTGATAAACAAGCCTCCAGTCCATCACTGTTAAAGAAGCAATAACATCTCACTAATTTACAGTGAAGTATTACAGATATTTTATTCTTTCTCTAACTCAACATTTCTGAGTTATAATTACTCACTCTCTTTTAGAAAAACTAGGCGACCAGAAAGAATGTTGGGCACCACTACAGTGCTTCTGGCTCTGCTTTTAGGTTTACTTCTTCTCCATTTGATAAAATTACGGATTACCGCTGCACGGTTGCCACCTGGACCAACCCCAGTGCCCTTCTTTGGAAATCTATGGACTCTGAAGTTTCAACTCCATCATAAAACTATCATGCAGGTATGAAGGTGATAAGCAGGTGTTGCTTTTTAATTGAAGAAATTGAAAATGAATAAATAAATCGGGAGAATATTTGCTGTCAATTGTGTTACCCTAATCCCAGCATGACATTATTGATGTAACAGTTTCAACTTAGCATCTGCACTTATAAAATTGTTTTAAATTAATGAAAATAAAAGATGGTTCAAACATTGGCTGCATATTTGATTATCCCTTTCGTGGTCTAGTGACAAAGCCCTGGAGGTAAGGGTGTGGGGGAGATATGCAGCTGCCGTTTACATTTTGAGTCTGCAGCAAAAACAGCACAAATCCAATCAAATTTGCTTAGAAAGGTCCCAAGGGGAATTGAGGCTGCCCTTACCACACTGTTGCTAACATTGTTGGCAGGGCCTCCATTTTATATTCCACAGTAATACCAATGCACCCACTTGAATGGAGGTTAGGGTCCATGTGAAAAGGAGATTGAGGTACAAGTATGCTGGAGATAGACTTGGATAAACCCACTAGTTCAAAAGGGGGCAAGAGAGGCCTTGATTGTTCTTATGGATGTGTGGTGAGTCAAGAGAGAGCTTTGCTGTCTCACCATCCAGTGTGATGGATTAGGTGGCAAGGACAGGGTACAGCTAAAAATAAACACCTGGAATATGCCAGGATTAAGGCAATCTAGGGGGTAATCCCTGCTTGATAAAAGAGGAACTGCAATTGATGACCAAAAGTAGATATTTTTGCTAAAACATCACACAAAGCAGAGGAACTCCTACAACCAATATACACTGCTCAAAAAACTAAAGGGAACAAATAAATAACACATCCTAGATCTGAATGAATTAAATATTCTTCTGAAATTCTTTGTTCTTTACATAGTTGAATGTGCTGACAACAAAATCACACAAAAATAAAAAAATGGAAATCAAATTTTTCAACCCATGGAGGTCTGGATTTGGAGTCACACTCAAAATTAACCCCTTAAGGACACGTGACATGTCATGATTCCCTTTTATTCCAGAAGCTTGGTCCTTAAGGGGTTAAAGTGGAAAAACCCACTACAGGCTGATCCAACTTTGATGTAATGTCCTTAAAACAATTCAAAATGAGGCTCAGTAGTGTGTGTGGTCTCCACGTGCCTGTATGACCTCCCTGCAACGCCTGTGCATGCTCCTGATGAGGTGGCGGATGGTCTCCTGAGGGATCTCATCCCAGACCTGGACTAAAGCATCTGCCAACTCCTGGACAGTTTGTGGTGCAACGTGATGTTGGTAGATGGAGCGAGACATGATGTCCCAAATGTGCTCAATTGGATTCAGGTCTGGGGAACGGGCTGGCCAGTCATAGCATCAATGCCTTCGTCTTGCAGGAACTGCTGACACGCTCCAGCCACATGAGGTCTAGCATTGTCTTGCATTAGGAGGAACCTAGGGCCAACAGTACCAGCATATGGTCTCACAAGGGGTCTGAGGATCTCATCTTGGTACCTAATGGCAGTCAGGCTACCTCTGGCGAGCACATGGAGGGCTGTGCGGCCCCCCAAAGAAATGCCACCCCACACCATTACTGACCCACTGCCAAACCGGTCATGCTGGAGGATGTTGCAGGCAGCAGAACATTCTCCACCGCGTCTCCAGACTCTGTTACGTCTGTCACATGTGCTCAGTGTGAACCTGCTTTCATCTGTGAAGAGCACAGGGTGCCCGTGGCGAATTTGCCAATCTTGGTGTTCTCTGGCAAATGCCAAACGTCCTGCACGGTGTTGGGCTGTAAGCACAACCCCCACCTGTGGACGTTGGGCCCTCATCCCACCCTCATGGAGTCTGTTTCTGACCGTTTGAACAGACACATGCACATTTGTGGCCTGCTGGAGGTCATTTTGCAGGGCTCTGGCAGTGCTCTTCCTGTTCCTCCTTGCACAAAGGTGGAGGTAGCGGTCCTGCTGCTGGGTCCTGCTGCTTGCCCTCCTACAACCTCCTCCACGTCTTCTGATGTACTGGCCTGTCTCCTGGTAGTGCCTCCATGCTCTGGACACTACGCTGACAGACACAGCAAACCTTCTTGCCACAGCTTGCATTGATGTGCCATCCTGGATGAGCTGCACTACCTGAGCCACTTGTGTGGGTTGTAGACTCCGTCTCATGCTACCACTAGAGTAAAAGCACCGCCAGCCTTCAAAAGTGACCAAAACATCAGCCAGGAAGCATAGGAACTGAGAAGTGGTCTGTGGTCACCACCTGCAGAACTACTCCTTTATTGGGGGCAGGGGCGTACCTAGAGCATTTGGCACCCGGGGCGGGCAGGGGTGTACCTAGAGCATTTTGCACCCGGGGCGGGTCCTGTTTTTGGCACGCCCGCCTCCACCCCCAACTTTAAATTGTAAAAAACAACCACAATTTAAAAAAAAAAATGTATTTAGCACTAAGCAGTGTTTATGCTTTTAAATGTAAGCATGTTTTTGTATGGAGTATGTTAGAGTGAATGTAGTATGTGTGTCTGTATGTGATGTTGGCGTTTGAATGCAGGCATGCATTTTTATGTAGTGTGGTTTTTGAAGGCAGTGGTGTGGTTATATACAGGGCCGCCATCAGGGGGTGACAACCATAACGGTTGTCACGGGCCTGGCGGTCCTGGGTGGCCCGGACTGCTTTGGCAGTCCAGGGCCCCACAATTACTCTCTGCACCTATATATAGCTGTACTTTACAGCATTTCCCTCACTCTAGTAACTGGGTGGCAACCATTTCATGTATCAGAGGCACATGGTGAGAACAATGGATGAAGCACATGGTGAGAACAATGGATGGCGGCCATTTTAACTCACAGACACTGTTTGGACTTTTCTACACGGTGCCATCTCACCAGTATTTGGTGCGCGAAGACATCGTTCAGTAGTTTTAAACTATACAACAGGGGACACATTATACAGTAATTATTTTGCATATAGCTTGTATCTGCATTAAACTGCATCTTCCAAACTACTGAATGGATCTGGGTGAATTTTGGATATGTGGTTCACCCAGATCCCCCGGTTCCGAAGATATACTTTTTTTTATGGGGTTATTGCATGTTTTGGGGTCCCTGTGATGTGTTTTATGATACTGTATTTCTCTGCCTGTGATAATTAGATTAACCATTGTGTTCAGTAATCATATCACACGCAGAGGGGAGGATTTTGTGTGGGAGTGTCTGTGTGTATTGTACAGATTGATTGGTTGTTCTGTAAAACCCTGTGGGCAGTACTAAGTTTGTGGATTGGGAATAAAAGAGGCTGTATGTGCCAGTACAGTCAGTTCTGCTTGACCTCAAAACGAAGTGTCGTCTCGTTATTGGGGGAATTGGATTGTATGCTGATTGCCAGGAGTGTAAGCTGATTGTATGCTTTTCCTGTTCAGCTGTTTACAGCACTCTTATGCTTGAGAGCATTTGTATGCTTCTCCGGTTCGGTGGTTGTAGTGTCTGCTGCAGTGCTTGGAGTCCTCAGGAAGCGCTAGGAGCATCCTTCAACGGAGGTACCCAGTCGGGGTGCCAGGCGATCCGTTACAACTACACTGACACACACTGCATTCATTACAGTAAAGTACAGCTGCAGTTCGCTGGGCCCCCTCTGCAAATACAGGGAGCCGGGGGCCTGCGGCTGCACCTATATATAGCGATCATCCCTCAACCGTTATGGTTGTCACCCCGTGATGGCGGCCCTGTGTGTGCATGCGCGTGCGCGCACACACTCTCTCTCTCTCACTGGTGGAGGAGTGGAGTCAGTGAGTCCCTGGTGTGTTGGAGTTGGGGAAGCAGGGACTCCTTCCTGCTTCTCCTCAGTGTTCTGCAGTGAAAGGCAGCAAATTGCTGTAGCTCCCCCCCTGCATCCGGTTTGGCACCACCTCCACGGCCGAGTTGGCTCCGCCCCCAATTCTGTACTGCTGACTTCCCAGCCCCTGCGTGTGTAAGCTGTGTGGCTCCCGGCACCCTGTGCAGCCACACAGCTCACATAGTCACAAGACTGGCCAGCCCTGGAGGCACCCCCTATCTGGTGGCACCCCCCTAACTGGTGGCACCCGGGGCGGACCGCCCCCCCTGGCCCCCTTTAGTACGCCACTGGTTGGGGGTGCCTTGCTAATTGCCTATAATTTCCACCTGTTGTCTATCCCATTTGCACAACAGCATGTGAAATTGATTGTCGCTCAGTGTTGCTTCCTAAGTGGACAGTTTGATTTCACAGAAGTGTGATTGACTTGGAGTTACATTGTGTTGTTTAAGTGTTCCCTTTATTTTTTTAAGCAGTGTATATTTAGCATTATAGTCAATTCATATAGCTTAATATGCACAAATTTACTCCATTTTAATGCTTTATATAGATAATGTATTAAAATTAATATAAATATATAATTTTTCAATTTCCTAAAAATGCAGCACTTACACAGTCATGTGCTACAGCTGACAGATCCCTGCTTAAACAGGAGTAGGCTCCGCTCATCAGGAGTCTTTAAATTCTGGTTAAATAGTTTTTGCTTATTCTATAAAGCCATGTGCAGTAGGAGTTTATAGGATATGTAGTTTGTCTTGCAGCCACCTTTCCACTATGTCATAGGGTGCACAGTGTCCTGGTAACATCCATATCATGGCTGCTATTAGCCTATGCACAGACCCAATTTCACAATCTGGGTTGTGTACGGTGATCTCTCAAGATGTCAATAACACATGCATACACCCACTGCTCATGATTTTTCCAGGACCAGTGAAGCGAGGGAACAGATGTCAGTACAAGTTTTGCAAGTACAGTCTTATAGCTATTAGGCGGTAGTGTTTTACAAATGTCTGCACTTAAAAGACACTCTGGACAAGAGGATGTAGTGAAGGGTACTCTTTGCTCTGTAATCTCTGCAACGGTGTAGCATTGTTATGGTGCTTAGAGGGACCCTCTAACAAAGTAAGTCTTGTGAAAATGACTAAATATGAAGTACTAAACCAATGTATTGCTTTGTGTGGGACTCTTTCCTTAATGAATAACTAATGTTTCTATAGCCCCAAATTCAGTTCATTTAAAGCAGTGCTTGCAAAGCCCATGGGATTGGGAGGGAGCACCATTCTTCTGCGTACAAATAACAGTACAAGTGATACATATGTTGTGTTTTTACACAGTTGGCAAAGACTTATGGGAATATCATAACCATCTGGATTGGGCAAACTCCTATTATTGTTCTTCATGGATATGAAACTATACGTGAAGGACTGATTGCCAAATCTGAGCAACTTTCCATGCGAGCTGAGAGACCTTTCTTCAAATATTATGCCAATGGAAGAGGTAAAGGTTTATTTAATTCTTTTTTTAAAAAATTATAAAAAAAATTAGCTGCCAAGAAAGCTGAACTCCTCTTTGATGCTCATATGGCAAAACAATAATAAAAAAAAATGTTTCAGAACGCAAATTTGGGAATGAGTGCTTACATTATAAAGATGTGTAATGGGAAGAGGGAAAAAAAGGCTAATAACTATTGCGTAGATAAAAAGCCTCTGGCTGTGTAAATTTTATTGTAGCTTCAATGCAGAAAGACATTATGACAACAGGAAGAAGTAGTAGTTCTAATAGTGTCTGAAATAAAGTGAATGTGAGCAGTCAGAAAGAAAACCATTTGGCTTCCAGTGCAATAAAAGGGATGATGTGTAACTGCAGTAAACACTCAAATAGACAACGATAGACAGATTGGCCATTATTCTGTGTTTACTATGCTACAAATTGAAAGCGATTGATACAAATTAGTAACCAGGAAGAGAGTTCACAAAATCTACAGATGAGAATAAAAAACACTACCACCAATGACAAATTGCCTTTTTTCTTGATAGTGATTCTTTTTTTTTTTCAATTTTACAATTTTTATTGGTTTCGCCAGTGGTACAGAAGAGAAAAAGGGGTAGAGGGGGGGTTACATGAATTGCAGTCATCGAACATTTTAAGGACAGTAATACAGCAATACAGCGTTAAATACGACTTTTCATGTACAACATTGCCGTCCTCTCGTCCTGGTTAACAATTATCCAGTAACAGTAGGGGGGGGATGTGGGGGGTACTCATTTGGCTCACATGCATTCCCCTTATAGTTGTAGAGCCATTGTTCTCATTGGCCTTATCTCGACCTATCCTTCTTGTTATTTCCAGCCTGTATGCTCCTTTGAGCTTTTGTGTAACTTGGTCCTGCACTTTGGCTCCCCTATTTTAACCAGTTCAAAACTGTAAACTATACAACTATGTACACGTGGGTTTCTATACGTAGTGGTCTGCTATCACCTCTCCCTCTGTGTGTCACTCCCCCTCCCTGCCCACCCCCAACACCCATTTCGCATGGGCCAGGTTGGCATATTTGTTTGATGGACTTTGCCTGTTCAATCCCTTTTCATATACCAGATTCGTGGTGATTTGTTGAATCAGGGCCTCTCTAGTGGGTGCATGATCCTGCTTCCATGCTCTAGCTATTAGGGTGTTTGCTGCTATGAGGATATGAAATAGTAGACGTGAGTCTGTGATGTTGAGCTCTTCCAACCCCATAAACAGGAGTCCGCACTCCGGTGTAAGTGTGAGTTCTCTGTCCAGGGCCGTTCTCGCTATCTCCTCAACTTCCCTCCAGTATGTTGCTACTTTCGGACACGTCCACCAGATATGATACATTGTTCCCCTGTCTTTCTGACACCTCCAGCATGTGTTCGGGGTGTTTGGGTAGATCTTTGTCAATCGCTCCGGTACCAGGTACCAGCGGTATTGGATTTTGCGCATTTGTTCCAAGTGAGAGGCACAACTCGTCCTCTTCTTGTGCGCTAAAAATGCTTTTCCCCATTGTTGGTCAGTGAAGGTTTTGCCCATGTCCTCCTGCCAAGCTCCCTTGAATTTGTCTGGGGGGTCTGTATGCGATTGGATCAGCATATTATAAAGTGTGGATAATAGTTTCTTGGGTTGTTTCGTGGCTGTACACATCTGGTCAATGTGCTTTGTGTTGGCCGTTGCAGTGGGGCCGTTGGACCCTTGTATCATGGATTTTAATTGTAGGTATTGGAAAATGGTGTTGTGCGGTAGCGTGTATTTCCTTTGTAAGTCTGGGAAGTCAAGTAGTTTGTCTTTGTCATATAGGTGGCTTACTCTATGGCACCCCCTGCTTATCCAAGGTCTGTAGTCAAAGGCTGGGTTTGCCAGGTATAGGCTGTAGAGGGGAGTCACTTGCGCCCACCCCCTGTCTTGTCCCCATTGTTTTGTGGTCGTGTCCCATACCTTCAATAAGAGTCGTGTCGTGGGTGGCACATCCTGGTGGATTTTCCTGTGTCTGTGGGGTACCCAAAACAGGTATTTCAGACCCTTGGGACACGCCCAAGAGGCCTCCATGTCTACCCACTGTGGTACTTCCTCACTGGCGTGTGTTTGTACAGCCGTGGCCAGAATAGCCGCCTTATAGTACTGCCGAACGTCCGGCATTCCCAGGCCCCCATTCGCCTGCTGCCTGCACAATATTTTCGCTGACACTCTTACTTTTTGATGGGCCCATATGAAGCCCGTAAATAGTTTGTGTAGGTTATCCAGCTAGCTTTTTGGTACGTGGATTTGTAAAGTTCTTATTAAATATTGGAACTTCGGCAGCACTATCATTTTTACTGCGGCCATCCTTCCCAGCCACGACAGGAATTTGCCTTCCCACCCTTTCAATGTATTCGCTATAGACTTCAGCAATGGGTCATAGTTCGCGGCTATGAGGTTTGTTGGGTTTTTTGTAATATTGATGCCTAAGAAAGTTAGATGGTCTTGTCTCCAATCTAGTGTGAAGGACCGCTGTAGCAGGTCCAGCGTGCCTGCCGGGACCCCCACCCCCATGGCCTGTGTCTTCGTTATGTTGAGTTTGTAGTATGAGTGGGTGCCGTAAGTAGTTATCTCTTTCAAGAGATTGGGGTGGGAGATCTGGGGTTGGGTAAGTGTCAGCAGGACATCGTCAGCAAATAAGTTGGTAGTATATTCACGTTCATTGATCCTGACACCATGTATGTTTGGGTTATTTCTGATTTTTACCACTAATGGTTCTTGAGCTAAAACATATAACTGGGGTGACAAAGGGCACGCCTGCCTGGTGCCGTTGGTTAGTGTTATTGGTTCCGAGAGGAATCCTGAGTTAAGCACCTGGGTACTCGGCGAGCTATACAGGGTTTCTACTACTGAAACAAACCCCTCCGGGATGTCAAACTTTCTCAACACTGCACGCAGGAATTTCCAGTTTAGGCGATCAAAGGCCTTTTCTGCGTCCAGGGAGACCATCAGCCCCCCTTGTTTCTGTTTGCAGAGGTAGTGTAAGATATTTAGTACTTTACTAGTATTATCCGATCCCTGCCTCCCCTTGATGAAGCCTACTTGATCGTTGTGGATAATTGTTGGCAATATTGACCCTAGCCTTAGTGCGTATGTTTTGGCCAAGATTTTAGCGTCGGTGTTTAGCAGGGATATGGGCCTAAAGTTCTGTGGGGTTGTGGGTGGCTTCCCTGGTTTAGGCAGGGTAACTATGTGCGCAGTCAGCATCTCAGGGGGTAAAGCTCTATGTGCAGTGGCTTGTGTGTAGGCATTGACTAGGTATGGCGCTAGTGTGGTACTGAACTTCTTGTAGTACATGTTGTCTAACCCATCAGGTCCCGGGGCCTTGCCCGACGGTAGGGTCCTTATTACATCCCTTATTTCCTCTTCGCATAGTGGTTTTGTGAGTGCCAACTGCTGTTGGGCGGTGAGTCGGGGCAGGTGTGTGTCTCTCAGGTATGTCTGTATGTCTCTCTCTATTGGTTGCGGGGTTATGGGGTCAAGTCGCAGATTGTACAATTTCTCATAATAATGTGCGAACTCATCGCTGATGGCCTTTGGGGTGGTCAGTTTCATGCCTGTGTGCGAGGTGATGTAGGCTATCTTCTGTGTAGCTTGTCTTGTCTGAAGTCTGTGTGCTAGCAGTTTGCTAGCTTTGTTGCCCTGGGTATATTGTTGTAACTTTAGGCGGTTTAGGTTATGTTCTGTGCATTCTAATGCTTGTGCGTGCAGGAGTCTAGTGATTTGGATTATGCGTCTGCGTCTGTCATCCGTGGGGGAGATTTGATTCTCCAGATTTAAGTCATAGAGTTCTCTTTGTAGCTCTAGTGTTAGTTTTTGTGTCTGTTTTCGGAGGTATGAGGCCCGACGTATTAATAAACCTGGTACCACAGGCATGTGGGCCATCCAGAACGTTGTAGCCGACACCTCAGGCATCTCATTTTCCGCAAAATACTGTTTCATGTTTGTGGTCAGGTCGGCTACAAACTGCGGATTTAGAAGAAGAGAATCATTGATTCTCCATGGGCTGCGGTGTTTGAAGTCGTACAAGTCTTTCACCTGCAGAAGTACTGGCGCATGATCTGACCATGTAATGTGTGCTATGTCGCAGCTTAGGATTTGATTGAGGTGGGAGCCCTGGAGGAGGAATCCATCTATTCTAGAGTATGAGTTGTGGACAGGTGAGAAATGCGTATATGCCTTCTCCGAGTGATGTGTGATTCTCCAGGCATCGTAGTAGTGGTATTTGTGTAGCAGGGACTGGAGGGCTTTGCCCTGGCGTCTAAGGGTTTTATATCGGCCACTAGTTCGGTGTATGGTTGAGTCCATGGTCGGGTCAAGAATGTGGTTGAAGTCACCGCAAATGAGTGTTATACCTTGTTGTATAGGCACTAGGGTTTGAAAAATTTTGTGTAGGAAGTTTCACATAGATTGGGCACATAGATATTCGCGATGGTGTACTCTATGTCATTGATCATTCCCACTATCACTACGTATCTGCCCAATTGGTCTATATGTTGTGATTTTAGGGAAAAGGAGACATGTCTACTTATCAGTATGGAAGTACCTTTAGCTTTAGTCGGGGAAGTAGAGTGGAATTGGTGTGGATACTCCAACTCCATAATCTGGGGATGGTCCTTGGTACGGAAGTGGGTCTCCTGCTGGCACACCACCTCTGCGCATTGTTTCTTAAGCTCCCGGTATAGTAAGTGTCTTTTAGTTGGGATGTTCAATCCCCTCACGTTGTGTGTGTGTATATTTTCATGTAGGGTCAGACATGTAGGGTTGTGCTGAGTATTGCGAGTGTTTGTTGGTTGCGGGATGACTCGCTCCTCCCAGTGCTATCAAGCGGAGCGAGGCCACCCCTAGGGTCTGTAGTGACTTCCCATAGGTGACAGTATGTGCCTTATCTTGAGTGTTAGGAGTGAGACCACCCACCAGGTCCCCATCCCAGCCCCCAGCGGTGTGGGCAACAGGCCTCCTCCCGCTGAGTATCGTAACATAACAATATAACCAAACAACAACAAAAGTGTTTACAAAGTTGAACCATGCCCTGTTTGTGGCTTGGCACTTCATCCAAGTGCCATGGGGGTAGAAGCTTAGTGCTCCTTTGCCTGGGAGGTTACGTGCGCTTTGCGCCGGCCTTTTTGTCTGTGGCAGTGTGAATCTTTAATGGCTTTTTCAATGGTTAGTTTAACTTGAGTTTTTTTTTTTTTGTTATATCCATTTGTGCTATTCTATGTGACCCCTGTTCTGGGTGGCTTGGTGCGGCGTAGTTGCCTCCTAGGGATCCCAATCCTTTCAATACTCAGAGTCATCTCTTATTACTACACCCTGGTGTCGTACTCGCTCTGCTAATGGTTACTAGGGAGTTAGCTAGATATGGATTAACCTTTGGGTAATAAACATTACAGTGACATAAACATTTGTGCATTATGATACTTGCGGCTCGGCAAAGTCTGTGGCTTTAGGCCCTCTCAGGCAACACGATTTTACAGTCTACGTGCGTTTCGCTCGTTTCCAATCCAGTGTTAACCGTCTTGGCTCTTTGGACCGGTTGTGCTGGTGTTCTCTTTCTATTCCCCATTCTCTCAGGGCATCTGTCCCTTCCTCTGGTGTTGATATTACTGTGGTCTTTCCTGCTCTTTGCACCAGCAGCTTGACTGGATATCCCCAACGGTATAATATGCGGTGTTCTCTGAGCGCTGCCGTGATGTCCTGGAATTCTCTCCTCCTCTGCAGGGTGAATGCGGAGACATCCGCGAATAGCATGATGCTGCGGTACTGCTCTGGTAAGTCCTTGCGTGTTCTACTACTCTTAAGGATAGCCTCTTTGGCATGATAGTAGTGCATACGCACCAGTATGTCCCTGGGTGCATCTTGGGGAAGGAACTTCGGTCTCACCGTCCTGTGGATGCGGTCAAAGAGGAGCATGTCTTGTGGAATGTCTGGCACCAGTGCCTTGAGGTAGGCCGTGACATGTGCTGGCAGATCAGATATGCCCACCGTTTCTGTCACCCCCCGCAGCCGCAGGTTGTTACGGCAGCTTCTGTCTTCTATATCAGCCAATTTTACCTCCTGTGCTGTGAGGCGTTCCGCCATTTGCTGCAGTCGGTCTGCCAATTCGTTATGTGCTTCCTCAGCTACGGTCATTTTCTCCTCTATTTTAGAGGTCCTGGAGCCGAGATCCACGAGTTCTTTACGCAGGTCGCCTATGGAGGTTTGGACACTATTCATTATTTTGATCGATATCCCGTCGAGCATGTGTTGCATTATTGCCTGGGTTAGAGGCCCTTGATCATTGGGCGCACAGTGAGCTGCCTCGTTACTCTCTTCAGCGCCATCTTGGTTACCCGCCGGCAGAGCAGAGTCTCGCGGAGCATTTTGTTTTGGGGCAAAAAACTGCGTCTTGTCCGCCTTCTCCGTCTGCCTCCTGTTCTTGGGGTGAGACATTGTGGTTTTTGTGGTTGTTGTCTGCCTTCTTTGCTGTAACAATTACTCAAATCAGGCCTGATGGCGCGGAGCTGCTGTTACATGCGGCTGCTCCCGTCGGTGTCCAGGCCACGCCCCCTTCGACAAATTGCCTTTTTTAAGCAAAGAACAGGTGTTCGCTGTTACAATGGCTAATAGCTGGGGCTAGCTGCTTGTTTATGTTATCAGCAGAAAACAACGCATCCCTCTAAATATCATATCCTGCAATATCTACATATAATGCAATGCACACCCACACGTGTTAAGCAAATATATCTGTATATTTTTACATGCGCATTAAAGGGACACGAGGCACCAAGACCACCTTATCTCATTGAAATGGTCTGGGTGCAATGTCCCTTTTCCCTTAGTCCTGCAATGCAAGACATTGCAGTTTTAGAGAAACTGCAATGTTTATATTGCAGGGTTAAGACTGCCACTAGTGGTGCTTCCTGCAGTTTCACAGAGTACGACTCCATGGAACGACACTGGATATCCTCACGCTTTGCATAAGGACATCCAGCATTATGCAAAACCCCACAGGAAAGCATTTATCCAATGCTTTACCATGGGGAAAACCTAATGAGCATGCGATGCTTGCCACTAATGCGCATTAGGTCCCCCAATCGGCTAATGTCGGCAGAAAAGGAGTGTGACCCAGAGTCGAGGGACCTCAGCGTTGGAATCTGGTAAGTGAATCAAAGTTGTTGTTTTTT